TCTCGGAGTGGGGGGCCCAAAGAGGATTCCCTGAAGATCTCACTAAACTGAGCCGAAAGAGTTGTTCAAACCGTGACAAGTAGCTGTCCAGCTGTCTGGTACAGGTACTTAGAGGAGTGAAAACAATGTCTGTGGATATCAGTGTCCGATGGTTGTGCAACACATTATCACAGTCTTAGCTGCTCGTGCTAGCCCACAGCTTCCGTGGGTCAAGAGTTTGGCACGGCTTAGCCCAGTTCTCGGTTCAGGATCTCACCAGCCGGTAATCGAGGTGTTGGGCTGTGTTCTCATCTGGAGGCTTAACTGAGGAGGAATCCACGTGCAAGTGTGGCTTCGGGTTTGGGGCAGAATCCATTTCCTTGCAGTTGCATGGTTGAAGGTCCCAGCTGTTTGCTGACGGAGCCTGGAGGCTGCCTGAAGCCCTTGGCCCGGGCTTCTCCACCATGGCGGCTTACTGCATCCAGCGAGCGAGGTAAAGCCCTGCTCGTCTTTTAAGAAGAAATCTCAGATAACGTAACACGATGACAGAAGTGACGTCGCCTCACCTTCGCTGTATTCTGTTTACTTAGAATCAGCTTACATGTCCCCTTCTACGAAGAGGCGGGAATGACAGGCACACTGGACACCAGGAAGCAGAAATCTGGGTCACTGAGGGACAGGAAAAAAGGGGGGGACTTTGATTGCTTTGGGATTTTTAAACCACAATGAGTGGGTGATATTCAAGAAATATATTCATGGGGGTTAATGAGCGAGCCCTCTGGATGAAATGTGAAGAGAGAATTGTGAAGAAGCTAGGGAGCTGTAGGAAGACAGATGAGGTGCCAGGTGAAGGGGTGAGATTCGCAATAATCTAAATATAATGGATTGGACACGGTCACTATGGTCAAGGTGAACTGCAGAGTCTCTTAGATACAGAGCTTTCTCCCCACTCCAAGTTTCCGGAGCGTACCACCTGGTTTCCTAGCCCCAGAGATGTGGTTCGAAGAGGGGAGCACTCTCTGACCTCAAGAACCTGGCATTCCCTAGGGAATGGCCAATGGGGCTCCAGCAGGTAGAGCTCACTTCCTCCGAATGGTTCCAATACCAAGTGCTAATTTCTCTTTCTTCAACACATTTGATGGTCACTTCAAAGAATTTCTTCAAAGAGATTGCATTAGACCAAAAAGAAAGAAAGAGGGGGGTGGGGGAAAAAAAGCCAACATTAACTACAGAATCCTGATGGGTTATGATTGCATTATTTTTCCCTGAACACTATTCCCAGCATTCTTCCTGTGTTCTAAATTACGGAGGCTAGTCCCTGTGTAGTTAAATAACAGTAATTACCATATAAATGAATATGCATATGTGTCATTTTTCTCCCTAAAAGCAAGCAAGCCTGTTTATTTTGGAAGGGGTTTTGTTTTGCCTTTGAACAACCAAAGCAGATAATTAGACGTCTAACCTCTTGCTCTGCAAACCCTGTCTCCACTGGGAAGAGATGAAAAAGGTACTGGATGCCCCTTGAAGCTTAGAAGAAATTTTAAAACAAATTAAAGGAGATCTTTCTTTACTCCACAGGTAACAACGGCGTGGGCATGTTCGGAATTCTAAGGCCAGGAGGAACTTCTCTGCTCAAGCCCAGTCCTCTCATTTAACTGATGGGGAAACTGAGGTCTCAGGAAGCGGGAGCTTTGCCGGGGTGATACTGCTGTGGCCTCATGAGATGTGGTCTTTTACATAAGAAGAGAGGGCCCAAAGCAAGACCATCTTTCCATCTCGGTTCTGGAGCTACTCTAAGACCTTGAGCAAGATATGCAACCTGAGCAAATCCAGACACCGCATCTCTGAAATCCGTAGTGCCGTAGTGCTGCCTCCACAGTGCTGATGCAAAGATGAGTTAGTGGGCGTCCGCCCTCAGCCAGACCTAGCACACAATGAACCCCCATCCCAATCCATGGCAACCACCAACAGGATGATAACAGGTGTGACTACGAGAGCGATCATGTTAACAGTTAACTTAATTTTGATAGTTGGGTATTGTGTCAACTTGGCTGGGCCAGGATTCTCAGTGGTTTGGCAGTTGACACCAAATAATCCGCCCAGGACCTTACCTGATACAATGTCATCACAGCCAAACAATTTAAAGATTCGGGTAGGATGCAACCCTTGCACGCATGTCACAGCCCGGATGCAGTTAATTGAAAGGAAGTTTATTTGGGGGTGTGGCCTGCTTCCTATATAAGTGGACTCTGTGGAAAAGCTTGCTTCATGCTTTTTGCTGGTTCTGGATCCTGCTTCTAGGCTCATGGGCCTTCGGGTCTTTGGACTTGAGACAATGGCCTGCTATATTTCCTGCCACCCTTAGATTCATCACTTCTATCATCAGAAGCCTGTCCTGCAGGCCTTGTATTCCGCTGCTTCTGAAGCTACCCCCCGCCATCTGTAGTCTTCCTGCCAATCATCAGCCTTCAGATTATGGGAGCCAGGAAAAGCCTCCGGCCTAACATCTGACCCACAGACTTCAAACACTTTGGGTTTGGATTTGCCCATTTCTACAACCATGTGAGCCATTTTCTTGATATAAATTAAAAACACACACAAACACTAAATTCCCTTCCCAATCCATGGCAACCATCAACAGGATGATAGAAGGTATGACTATGAGTGCAATCATGTTAATAGTTAACATAATTTTGCGAGCTAGTATATCAACTTGGCTGGGCCAGGATTCTCGGTCATTTGGCCCTGCTCAATCAAGTGCCGCAACGCTCCTTAGCACTGATAAATGCCCAAGGGCTCTCAGCTTCACTCATTCCATGGGGAAGCCTGCTTTTCTATCTCATGGTTCAGTATGTGCTGGGTGTGGCTGAGGGTCGATGCCCACTAACTCATGGTCTCTGCTGCCACTGCCATTTCTCCACACGGGGGTCTCGGAAGTGTTTTGCTCATGGCTCTTCTCCATTCCTGCATCTGAGATGGCTCACTCTATACCCAGGGAAACGGTAATATTGATCAATACCCTCATTAGAGTCCTCGGCACCTTAATTGCATGCTTCCACCCAGTCATTTGGTGAGAGTTAAAAAGTATGGATAAAAGAGCCATGCCAAGTAACTTCACTTCACCAGGCTGGGGAGTCAGAAGTTACCAAGGAGACAGCAGAAAGGGGCATTCAAGAAATCAGCCAAGTAAAATGGTATGAAATCAAGCGCCCACTCACAAGCTGCACATGCATGGGCTGATCCTAAACAGCATCTCAAAGACTTGAATTGAACTTTCTGCCTGTGGCCCAGAAAGCCCAGTGGATTGGCCCACATGCAGGGCAGAGTTGCCTAGCACTACAAAGGCTTTGAAAACACAACTGGCATTGAGAACAACTCAAGGGAGACTGGTTGGAATGTGTGGTCTGAGCGCAACGAAATCAATTGCCTGATATTGTTGATTTTAAGTGCTGTCAAGTGGACCCAATCCATAGTGACCCTATGTACAGCAGAGCGAAACACTGCCCATGGCTACACCGTCCCCACAACTATTGCTAAGTTTGACTCATTGTTACAATCACTTGATTGAGTTATTTCAATCTTCTTCTTTTTCAATGATTCTCTACTTTACCAACTAAGAATCATGCGCTTCTTCAGAGACAAGACCTTTAACACATAAGAACAAGTCTCTCCAGCTTCACTTCTAAGAACATTTTTTAAAAAAATCTTTTTATTGGGGACTTGTACAACTCTTATCGCAATCCATCCATCCATCCATCCATTGTGTCAAGCACTTTTGTACATTTGTTGCCATCCTCATTCTCAAAACATTTGCTTTCTACTTGAGCCTCATTTTTCTCTCCCTCCCCGCACCCCCTCCCTCACGAACCCTTGATAATTATAAATTATGATTATTTTGTCATGTCTTACACTGTCTGATGTCTCTAAGGAGCATTTTAAATGTACTCCTTCCATGACAGATTTCTTTGTTCTCTGGCAGTCCATGCTATCGCCAACATTTCATTGCCAACATCATAATTCAAATGCATTCAAACAATAAAATTTATACTCTGTCCAAGTGAATATGAAACAATCACTAAAACAGACCACAGCAAAAACAGGCATCCAAACTGATATGAAGGGGACTGGATGTAGTGGAGACCCAAAGTCCACCAGCAAGGCAATTGGACAGTCCCTCTTAGAAGGGCTTCAAGTAACGGAGGATAAGTCCAGGGTGTAGTGTGGCACTGATGAACTGCATAGTTATCTTCTGGTTCCTTAAGATTCCATCCCCTCACTCTTGTGGTGCATATGTGATATACCTCACTGGTCATGTTAGACTTGTATGTGTTCATTTGTACCTTTAAGATCGCTCGGTACATGGTAGTCAAGAGAGATGACCCCTCGGAGACACTGACAGGAGTAAGGATTCCCTGAGGGTACGGGAAGTGAGGGGACAAGGGAAGGATGGGGGGGCTGGGGGGAGTTGATAGCATTGATGATTGTATAGTCCCACCCAATGGGATTGAACAACAGTACTGTGTGGGAAGGGAAGGGATACATTGGAATGAGTAAGATATGCCAATAAAAATAATATCCAAGAAAAAACAAAAATAAATAAAAGAGACCATATCCTAGGTCATAAAACAAATGGGAAAGAATTGAAAGCATACACGGTGTTGACTTAAGCTAGAAATCAATAACAGAGAGAAAAGAGGAAACGCTCCAGACACTTGGAAAGTAAACAACACACTTGTAAATAATGTTTCAGTCACAAGGGACTTCATAAGTGCAATTGGGAAATATTTTAAATGAAGTGAAAGTACAGTAGATCAAAAATTACAAAATACAGCTAAATCAGTACTTTGAAGGAAATGTGTAGCATCAAATGCTTACATTAGACAGCATTTTTGTACGTTGTTAATCATCTCTGCTCTAAGAGATTAATATACATACCTTCACCCTCCTTTTTGGCCTGGACATGGAGTCCCCATCTCTCCCAGAGGCCACCCCCCAAGGTGACCTCGCACGGGGGTTCTTACCCGCTTGATGCAGTCTTCATCGTTTAGGCGATCCTGAATCAGTCTGACCAGGAGTCTGCTGGGAACTTTCTAAAGGAAACACAACACACAGAGTGAGGGGCTGAGCTCGCACCTTGAGTACAGAACTCAAGTACACACCACAACCGGCAGGCATGTCAGCCCAGTTACCAGAGAGTTCCCCCAGGCCCTGACTAAAGCCCTGTGGCTGCTTTAAAGCCCAGAAGCACTATTTGCTGCCATCCTTACTCCTTTGAGTTGTATACTCCCTCCCCCACCTCTTCCATGGCCTCCCCCCACCGTATAGGCTCACACCCTCAAAACCTTTGCCTAGCTCCATGGTCTTGCTTATCCTGTGCCCTGCTGCCCAGAATGTTTCCCCTGCCTTCCCCAGAATAGCCCGGGACTATTTAGTTTGGGGCCGAGTCTCAGTCCCCAAACCGTGCTGCTTCAGGAACACTCCTGGTCCCTTCCAGGCTGGGCTGGGTGCCTGTCCCATACTCCCATCACGCTGGATGCTAAATTCTGTACTTGCACTAAGCACCCTGCATTACAGTGGGCTATGACCATGTCCCCAGATAAATGTCAAGTTCATTGTGAGCCCCTGGACAGTGGGGTGTGGGAGAGGCCTCAAGCAGGAGCAGCGCCCCCAACCCCACCCCCGGCTGCGCTCACAGTGATCTCACACTGTGGCCGGAAAGCTGAAGCACCCCAGGGCTGGAGCCGCTGCATCTGCCTGTCAGGCGGAGGAGAATGGAAGACAGTGACGCCTGCACGTCAGGGGACAGAG